GATGCAACGGCTGCCGGCGACGGGAGCTTAGTGACTGTGCCCCCCTGACCATGAACAGCGTGATTGGGCTGAACACAGACGGCCGTGGCAGCTACGTCTGCAGCAGCTGGCTTTGCCTCCTTCTTCATCGCGAGCTCTTTGCGATACTCCTCAGCAACACGAGCGCGTTCTTTGGGAGAGGCAAGTTTCCACATATCTGATGGAATACCAGGTGGACGACTTGACTTTCGGGCTCTCACCAAACGAAAACCATCCCATTGAAACCCAGGTGGAACTGCCGACCCATCCGGCATGTGATCAGGATCGTGATCAGCAAGTCCCTCGGCAGGTGCGGGAGGATCTTCCATCAAAACCTCCTCCGGCACAGCTGCTTCGCCAGGCTGCAAATGTGACTCCGGCTCATATTCCAATTCGTCCGGAGAACACGGTTTGTCGTCGGCAATAGCTTGCTTTGCGGGAAAAACAAACGTCTCATCAAGCAGACTGAACTCATACTGCTTGACGCGGAGGGGATTAATGTCACCCGTCCGCAACTTGTCCGGCAAATTCTTGAGCGGCAATACCAAAATTTCATGCGTGTAGGTAAAGCCAGGTTGCACATGATAGCCAACAAAAATGCCGACATCCGAAGTTGGCAGAAACTTGGACTGCTTCGAATCGACGCGCTGACGATTGATCCAGTACAACAATTTTGCACCGAATGGGATCTTCGTGTCAGGAAACTCATCACCAAAACGCAAAGCCCACGGCGACTTGTCCTTGTCATCTGGAATTGTAACATTGAGAGCAAATGCATGATGTTGAGCTGCCAAAGGCCAAAGCTCAACCGGCAAACCACTTTGAAACAGATTTGCTCTTGCTCCCTCCAGAATTGTACGAATCTCGCGCTCGATCACCCCGGAAGATTGACTGACATATGGCTGGCTCAGCACGTGTCTCCAACCCATACTCTTTACTGCAGCTGCAATTTCGCCAGAATTGTCAGAATAGAAAATCCCAACATGATCATCTGGCTTCGTGAAATGTTGAAATGCACGAACACAACTGTCAGCATCTTGCCTTGCTGAAGGGTAAAAATACCGGAACTGCGTGAACACATCTTTCACGACCAAAGCATTCCACTCGCCCTTGAACCCGTACGTCTCATCATTTGAAATGACGTGGTCAGCAGTCACATGATCTCCAAATGCTTTTGCATCCACCGAAGAAGATCCATGTCTGCGACGAGCCTGAGGCGCTTGCATCTTTGATCGCACACACGTTTCGCAAAAGGGGTTCTTGGGCCTGTGAGTGAAAAGATGCTCTTCACTTTTGGCCTCACGCATCATCATTTCTTTTGAACGCTTTGACATCGGTTTTGGAGCTTCCGCAACCTCAGGGTTGTCCTCCAATTCCGGATCAAACTCCGGTTCCAGTGGTTCAGCTTCATCAGGGCGCAATGGAAACGATGCGGCATCCGGCGGAGGTTGCCCCCCGCTTGAAGATGAAGGCACTTCAACGCCCCCGATCTTCTGATCGGATGCAGCAAGCGCAACAGGCATAGCGGATTCAGAAGCTATGACCTCGCACTGATCGTCAACATACGGAACTCGCCCATCGAGCTTCAATATTACCGCTTTGCCGTCAGGTCGCACAAAGTACGGAGCACTGTTCTTTCTCCATACGAAATCGTACCCCTTTTCCAAACATCTTTGACCAACAGAAAGGACAGCTGGCGTGCTCGGCAAAACATACGGAGTGACGACCTCGTTCAACTGATCAATGGAGAAGTCCGCAATCTTGTCTGCACAAATTGATCCATTTGCTGTTGAAAGATTGATTGGAGTCAATGCAGGATTTATCTTCTTTTGAAGTGTAACTGCACGCTCAGAGTCAACCAGATCTTGTTCACTACCTGTGTCGACAATCCACTGACGAAGCCCTGCTGGTGCTGGCGTAGCAATATACTCCGGCACATCGTCAAGGTTCGTTTCATCATCATCAATCCAACAGCCAGGACAATACAAACCGCAATAAATTGGGTCATTGTCATCATAGTATTCGCAATAGAACCCACAAGGCGCGTTGTAGTTTGCATGCATCAAGTCAACAACCCCTTCCAGAATCAAAGCTTTGTCTTTAGCATCGATCAGATCCTTGGGATTTGAGCCAGGCGCACAACCATCATACCACACAACCTCAGGGTCATTCGGCTTTGGAGCACATGATAGGCATAGCCCGTTGGCCTCGATCTCGACGATCTCGACATTGTCTGCGAATTTGACGCATCTGCGGGTATTGGAAACATCTGTACTGCAAATGAAAATTGTTTGCCCAGTCCAGTATTGCTCCAAACCTTCATCAGGATCCGCCCAGAAATCACCAAACACTTGCTCTTTGCCATTGATGTTGGCTTTGGTGATGCGCTGATCCAATAAACGTTCCAGCGAAATCGGAAGGTCTTTTGCACTCTTCGGATCATAAAGCGCTTTTCGGGGCATCACATGGTGTCGAATGACCATCTCGTTCACCGAGTCAACTTCCCAGAAATCTTTCTTTGGGCGGCATGCTGCGAGGCATGCATTGGTCTCTTTCACCCTCAGACACACAGCGGCTGAGGACTCGCCCTTTTTGCTCTGGGATCGCTTTCTCCCTTTTCCCTTTGGGGTGGGAGAGCTACCTCTGCTGGCTCCTTTCTTTGGGCTCGGCTTATCTGTTGCTGGTGCAGCAGACCGAGTCTCATGCGAAAACGCACAGTTGTCTCCACGAGTGCATTTCCCCTGACCGCCTTTGAAAAACCTGCACGGGATCTTTTTCAGCTCCGCTCTCTTTCTCGATGCCGACCGATCCCTGTCTCTCCCCTGGCTGTCAGAGCGCCCCCGACCTTTTCCTTTCGGATTTTGGCTCGGGGGTCTTGGGTCTTTCTCATGCTTGTAAATGCAATTCTCCCGAGTGCACTTGCCTTTCTGAAAATCGTAGCAATACCTGACCGCTGAAGGATCTCTTGCACTCCCAGGATTTGCATTGGGAGCTGGAGCACCGACCTTCTGATTGTGAGCTCGAGCGACACGATCACGATTTGACTGCAATCGCTCCCGAGTCAAAACATCACGAACGGCTGGAACAAGAAACTCGTAGCTCTTGTCATACGACCCATCTTTTGCACGCTCGTATGTATCGAGGTCATACTTGATCTTGTGACATCCACGAATCTGTCGCAAGAAAATGTCCTTCAAGACGTGCTGCTCCGGAACGATCTTCATGCCAGCAATGACGGAATCCCAATTCTGAATAAAGGTCATCAAATCATTGCCGTGAAGTACCACCTTCAACAAATCTTCAGTGGAATACAACGCTCCGGCCTCCTCATTTGTCCTGAAATACTGCTCAAACATGAGAAGAACTTGACGTCCACGGACAACTTTGTCCAAAGCAGCTTGTTGCTCCTTGTAGGTAAGGATCTGCCGACTAAGGTCGCCCCTAGCAATCCGCGACAAGGCTGCAAGAAGCTTTGTATCCAACGTTTCAAACTGCTCTGGATCTCCAAGCTCTAACATGAGATTCTTCTTGTCCTCCCGGTTGACGTACACCTTGTTAACCCAGGTGAATGCAGCGTCAGGCCGATCTGAAGCAGCCCGAATCTCTTCGCGAGTAGCCGTTTTCCAGGCTCTATAGGTCTCAGGAGTGGGAAACTCACTCAGCCTCAACGAATCAGCTTCCTTTGCTTTTGGCCGATCATGCTGATTCCGGACAAAGCCAAGGAGGGCCGCACGGAACTCCGCCTCGGTGGTCTCGGGACCAGTCAACCGATCAATGTTCGGCTGACTTGTCGGCTGATTTTGCTGACTTCTGCTGTTTTCTTGCTCCGAAGACCGTCTCGCATGATCTTTGATATCAAACTGCATTGCACCAGAAATAGGATCAGTCCAACTCTGCTGTGGAATAATCTGAGGCATAGTTCCAGAAGTTTGTGCATTCTGCGTTGGAAAAAGACGCGGATCATCAAAGATACTGCCCCTCTTATCCAAAAACGACTCCGAACTGACGTTCTGAAAACTTGACGCAGGCTGAGGATCTCCGCGCACCATTTCACGCTGCGCCTTTTCGAGATCGTTCCTCAGACGCTCAACGGTGTCGTTCAGCCCGTTGATCGTGTCCTGCATGGCGTGGTTCTCCGCCAAAATACTGTCTCTCTGCTCACCGACCGCCTTTTCCGAGTTCTCCATCACAACAGTCTCAGCATGTAAGCTTTGTGCGAAAGCGCTATACTGTGCCGTTCTTTGCGACACAGCTTCGTTCACTTCGGCAGAAATTGCTCCCCGCATCTGGCTAACCTGAGCGTTGAAGAAAGCGCGGGACTCTGCGAACTGCTCGTGCAGCTCAAGGGTCCGGCGGTTGTTCTCCTCGTCCAGGCGATGCACAGTTTCCGCCAAATGAGCGCTATATTCCGCCCTTGCAGCATCCATAGCAACGCGATGTAACGTGTTGGCCTCTTCCCTAACAGCGTCACCCGTGTCGTTATGCACATGCATGATGTTCTGGGTGGCTTGATAGTTTGTCGCGAATCCGAATACGTTTCGAGGATCGCGAGGGTCGACAGGACCATTGGGCGCAACTGCACCTTCACTACCGTCACCAACATCTCCAGATATACTGTAAATGGCAGGCATATCTCCGGATGCCATGGCGATCTTTGTACAAGCCTTTACGGCTGATAACCTGTGTTATCAAGCCTAGGCCACCTAAGGGAATACCTAGGCAAGCAGCAAACCGTTGACTACCTTTTCACACTGCTGTCAGTGATCTTGAAGTCTGTAGCGGCGGAGCATGTACAAGTACACTCATGCACAGGGTTGGAACCTGAATCCACACTTTCACCAATCCATTTGGTAGGGGACACCGCCCCCAAAAAGAATGGGTGGGTTTTCCCAAAGAGCCCCCCCCCCCACAAATGGGCGGGTGTCCCTCCTGTTTTCCCTAGCAAAGCCACCCAACCAACGGGCACGAAGACCCACGCGCGCCTGGATGCTCCCGTCGACGTAGCCCACCAACGCGCTGGCGGAGGTGTTCAGGTGTGGCTGCCCGGGGATCATGGGACCCCAGATCCTCGATCGGTGCGTTGCCCGGGGCTTTCGTACGTTTCTATAGGGGACGTCCATGTCCATTCCTTCCAGGGATCCGAATCTTTCCAGAAAACCAGCAGAACCCCAGGGGAAACAGCCGATTCTTGAAAAGAACGATGGTTGAAAAGAATGGGGAATCAACCCCTAGAACACTAGGTCCTCCAGGGAAAAAGTAGAAAGGGGGAAGTATAAGGTCCTCCAGCAGAAAAAAAAGAAGAAGAAAAGGTTGCAACAAGGGTACCAACTCTTTTCAGGACGTCGATTTTAGTAGGGGAACCCTCCCCCAAAACAGGGCAGAGAAGGGCACTACTGGGGGACCTAGTACAGGTTCCTGAGGGCCTCCCTTCCTGGATTGGCCAAATTCCGATGGAACTTTCTGCTTGCCACTAAACATGGTCCAAACCCGCAAAAAGTCTAAAGTCCATGAACTCAAGAAGTGAGGGTGTTCGTAAGGTTTTCTGGGGTTGCTGGGGTTTTCGTCAGGTTCCTCACTTGGACGCTCGGTCAAGGAAGCAAGTGTTTAGCAAACTAGCTTATACCTTTACTTATGAGTGAGTTCGTGCTGGTTGCCAGTAGGATCTAACCTAGGCTACTAAATAACTTTCTAACTTGGCGAATCGAGCACCCAAGTAGGGCCTTGGAGGTAGTGCGCGATTATAAGCAAGATGCTGCTTGTCATGTGTGCGGGGCGCTGTTGGTGATGCTGGCGCGTTGTAACTGATACTGCTGAGGATGTCAACAAGCATAAGCGCCACCAAAAACCCCCGAAAAATGCTCCCATTGCTTAAGTGTTGTTCTTTCGTTTCCTGCAGGATTGATTATGGTCCCTTGAGTTGCTCTTAGGGCCTCACGGCGGTTGATCTTCAACCAAAAGGGAAAGCCCTGGGTTTAATCCTTGGGTACAAATCGAGTTTGGGGTACTCAAATGAACCCCTGGCCGCGCTTGCCTGGGGCAGCGATGGAGTGGTTTGCCTGTTAAAACCCCACATCAAAATCAACCAGGGGTTCTCCTCAAACGCCAAACCCTTCCAAGCATCCAACCACTTCTTTCACCTGGATCCATTGCTTGACCATTCAATTAAGGTGTTCAGTTAACCCCTTAGCAACAGAAACGGAGAAACGGACCTCCCTGGGAAACCCGAGGTGGCTTTTGGCATACCCTTCACCCTTGAAGCCCTTTCAGTGGGCAGCCCTTTGAGTCAAGGCTCAGCGTGGGCAGCAGCACTGTCAGCCCGAAGGGGCAGCCCGGCTCTTTGCTCATGGACCAGGCAAGCTCCTAGCCGTTTCGCTGGGTCGGTCTGTGGGTGTGTGTTCCCCGTTTTCGGTTGGTTTCAGGAATGAAAGGAACCATTTGTGGCACACACCCGAACATATACGTCTACATGTGTATGACGTGAATGTAAATCTATATACATGTGCACATAGTATCTCCGAATTCTAGAATAATGTCCAATCTCGAATGCCCTCGAAATCTGGGCAGTCCACCTAGATTGGGGGGGGGGGGGGAAAACACAATCTACCACTAAACACTAAAAAGCTAAAAAGCTAAGGAACCGGACGATTCGCTGGGAACCACCAAGAAATAAGTCATATGGGATCCCCAACAAGAGAAAGGACCTTCATCATGGTGAGCGCGCACTTTACCCCAACTGATGCAGAAATGTGTAGATACCCTCCCACCCTTTTCACATGGAACCTGAGGTTTGGGGGGTCCTGGTTTGGACCATTTCCCTTTGAAAGGGACCGGGCCCCGAACGTCAGGTTCCATGTGACAAGGGTGGGAGAGTAAGTGGAGTAAGATTTTTGCTATGTGCCTCCCCCGGCCTCCCCTCCCCTTCCCCACTCATTGAAATTCATCATGTAGACCTCCGATTCACTGCAGTGCCAACATCTGCGGTTCCTTGCCGCGTGCGGCTTTGTTCGGGTAGGTGCCGTACCGGGCGTGGCTCAAGACAAAGAATAACGTGTACTGTATCATGCCGAAAGGGATATGCCGAGTATGTTATCCTATTTGTCTATTTAGCCACTCATTTATATGCTTCAGCATGCTATCTACTCATCTACTTACATATCTGTATTGTAAAACACAAACGTACCTACACCAGGCTCCGGCGCGTGGTTGCTTGGCCATAACCTGAAATCCTCCACCCATCATCACAAATGATGGCCAAGAAACCCTCTCACTGGAACCGCTAAAGTGACATCCGCAAAGCCCTCTAAATGGTCGTTTGCTTGGAAGGACACATGGGCACCGTGTTGGGAGGGTGTCGAGAGGGAAGCCAAATTGGAAGCCACAAATTTTGAGACAGTTCCCCCGGGAAAGAAACTCTTTCCAAAGCAAGGTGTTCGCGCGCCGTCAACCCAATCTCAAAGCCAAGTCTTTCGACTTGATCCATCGCTGGTTTCTTCAGACAGCTTCAGGATCGGTTCAGCTTGCCTCTGATTGGCGGTTTGGATCCAGGAGTTCTAATCCCCACGAAACAAATTGGGCGGGTAACCAGATCTATTCAACACATGCTGCACGCACGCGCACACACACACACTGAAAGCGGTGCCTAAACACTCACACTTGATATGAGACGGCGAAACTGACAATGTGCACCCCCATGCAGGCACAGGCTGTTTGAAGGTCTCCGGCAGGGCAATGGAGTTTCGGCACCGAGGAAGTCTAGACATCTTTCGCCAACGCACTCTCCTCTTCCGGACCGCCAGCAGCGCGTTAGTTACTCCATGCTAGATCATCCAAGGCGGTGGCGGCCGACTCCAAAAATAGACACAGCCGCGGAACCCCTTAGAAACAGGGGGGCCACACACACACCCCCCTCAGGGGGAGAAACAGAAACCGAACCCCGGAACCCAAAAAACCCGAAAAAAAAAACCGAAAGCCGCCTCCATCATGATTCTCGATGGGTGAGTTGGTCGCTTTTTTAACTCCTGCCTGTGCTCGCCTACTTGCGGGCATTTTGACATGTGGCTGCACTGGCTAAGTTCAGGTGGCCTTCTGATTCTGTTCCCGCACTTTCCTGAGGCGCTCCAGACTCTTCCAGCGCTGCGTGACATCCGCGATGGACCGGTTGAGCTTCTTGGCCAGCGACTTGTACGAGTACTTGGACCGGCTGTCCGCTTTCAGGCTGCAAAGCTGCTGGTCATCTTCTTCTGTCCAGGCACGAGGTACTTCCGGGGGAGTTCCTGGGTTGCCGGCATCGGAGTGAGCATGAGCAGGAGGTTCAGGAAGGGATTCAGGAGAGGAGAACAGGCCAGCGCAAGGAGAGACCGGAGCCGGGGCTGGAGTGCGAGGTGCTGGACGTGCCGGAGGTTCCGGGGAGTTCGTATTTTCGGAAGATGTAGCTCGGCATCTCTTCCGCTTGGTTCTGCGTCGATCAGTACCCTTCTTGTCCATGATGGAGCGGGGAATATTGGCCTTCTTGATGCCTGGCTGGCCAACATAATCGTGCACCATGGGGCTCTTCGAGCGCGGGTCTATAGAATCGTTGGTGTCCCCCGCGATGATGCTATAGGACAGCGACTTGGGGTTGACCACCACGTTGTGCCTGTGGTCTGCGTGTAGCTGGAGTGACTGGAAGCCGACGTGTGGCGGAGGGTCGGTCGGGGTTTCCAAATTGACCGAGTTCAGCATCACCGGGCCAGGTGGGTTGACCTCATCGACTCCAGCAGGAGCAAGTGCTCGTGGCCGCGATGACTCCGCCAGCGACCAGCCGCGGACATATTGTTGCTGCAAGCTACCTTGCCCGTCATGGTGCCGGCGACTGTGTGCCTTGTCAGCTTGATTCAAGGTCTCCTGGATGAGCTGCATCATATCCGCAGCGTTCTGGGTCATGCGATAATGAAGTGCTATCATGCGGCTGAGCATGGCGACAGCTCTCTGAGATCGGCGAGAAGGCCAATACTTTTTTGAACCAGTGAATGAGCTCCGTGATCAACACAAAAATCAAGGACCAAAAGCCAAAGAGAAACACAGACGCCAGAACGCAGAAGCCAAGACGAGCCAAAACAGGTCCGGAGAAAACCGAAAAGAGACAAAGGAGAGCCACAATGCCTAACATCAAAAGCGGCGACAAACTGGCGCTTAAAGGTTCTTTCTGGTTGGGATCGCCGAAAAATGAAACAAGTGTTGCAGGTCAGCTAACTTGTAGCCGGCGGACAGATAAATACTGCGGAGCTGATCCAGTGCCATCTGTAATGCTCTGGCTGGGTGCGCATACTTGGTGGCGAGGGCTGACCGTGATCTGGCCCCGGAGAGAAGGGTGGAGAGGCTTCCTGCAGTGTGAGGTCCTCTTATCTGCCAGATTTTGCTTGGGGTTTTGTAGTAAATCGCCCGGTCGCCCACATCGATGACGAAGCCGAGGAACTCCGAAGACCCCACCTGTTCCAGCACGATGGGAGCGCCGTAAAAGTCAGCCTGAAGCAGAGCCTCCAATGGAGCTGCCGGGTGACCTGAGGCTGGAGACGGGAAGATGACAAATCTGTTGTCCACATATCGCTCCAAAAAGATGTTGTGACTGGTAAACCATTGTCCGTAGATACGCTGCCAGATAACTTCGTGCCTCGCGACGCATATGTGGCTGAGTACTGGGCTCAGCTGAGAGCCAATCGCTGTACCATGGACTTGGCGCAGGATGAGAGTTCCAACCTGGACATACATGCATTGGAAGCTGGACTTGACGATACCCAGGATGTCCTCCATGTAGATGACACGCGTGGTTGGCGTACGTCCGTAGGATTGCTTGCCCGCAAACACCCGATTGTAGTGGACAGCTGCCTGGGTTTCCACTGAGTACACGAGACCGGGTCGCCCTCGCTGGTGCTCGGCTAATAGCTGCTCGACTGCTGCACACACTTGATCCTGAGGGACACTATTGAAGAATCCGACCAAATCGTCATTGTGGAAGGCAAGGGTGACTGTATCGTCTGTGTTGTCAAAGTACTGTTTGATGTTCTGCCATATCCTCGGTGTGGGGTGTATCCCCCATGAACATTTCCATGTGTCGGCTGCAATCTCGCCGAGAAGGATTGCGACTGCTTTGAAGAGCTGCCGATGTACCACCTTATGGTAGGCTATAATGGTCCGCCCCGACTTCCAGTGCTTCTTGCGCTTGAGAAAAACTTTTCCAACCGGGATGGAGGTGGTCTTCTTCCTGTACGCCCATTTGTACCGCTTCTGCCAGTGGAGTAGCTGCAAAGGTGCCGGACTGAAGCCAGGTGTTGTGGAGGCCTTTGAAGTAGAGTTGAGGGCAGAAGAACATGAGGTGGTGGTTGTCGTGATCCTCGTTGTGGCATACAAAGTCCTGGCCGAGGTGTCGATGCAGGATGTTGAGTTGATGCTTGGTAAGGAGCTGATGGGTGGATGCGTGCTGCCGATGTTGCTTGAATTGACTGCGTAAGTGCTCCATGAGAGGTGCGTGGAACTGGTCCAGGGGGAGTCCGTGATGCAAGCACCATTTCCGAAAGCGCTCATGAACTTGCACTTCGTAGACCGCGAAGTCCACATAATACGACGCCAGTGCTGAAGTGTAGTGAACGTGATGGGGGGTTCTGGGAAACCGGAACTCATCTAATCCCGCTGCCACATGACCTTGAACATGGGATAGCCAGGGCTGACGTTTTAGCCAGGCTTCGCATTGACACGATGATGGTCCTGGGGATGTCAAGGGGTAGCAGTCCCGAAATGACGAGAAGTTCCACATGACTGTGTGGACTCGAGGATGAGGAGTCTCGGCCAGCTTCGTACTGGGTAAGTGGAATGGAAGGGCCCAGTTGCGGTGGTCGAGGACGAGACGACGAAGAACTTCTCGGGTGGTCCGTTGTTAATGTGGGTGGGACAGCCACGGTAATCGCAATAACAAATTGATCCTGGGTTGCTGAAGTTGACGGAAATCAAGAACTCGTCGGAGAATGTTGCGAACTCGATGCCGATGAGGCTGTTCCACATTACCAGACAACCTGTAGATGGCATAGATGTCCAAGTCCGAGTGCCGTCCACTACGGAGTCGTTTTTCTTCTTCCCAGGATTCAATGTGCTCCGAGGTGAGGCGGGCGATGATGGACCAGGCTTGAGTGTGTTTGAGCGCCACTCGATGAAAGTTCCTGCCATAGACTGTGCAACTCCTTCTGCGCAACCGGAGGAAAAGGCGTTTGCCGAACCTGGACCAGGGTTGTTCTGCAAGAAACCTGGTGGCCGTGTAGCCGGTGGAGATGCGCTTGTATCGCCGATGAATGTAGGGCCAATTAAGCGACGGCTGA